CAATGGGGAAGGCAGGAAGAGGACCTCGTCTGTCTGCAGCAGTGACTCAGTGAGTGGGGGTCTCCCTCCAGCAGCACGCAGGGTCTCCTGGAGACAGAAAATCTTCCTGACAGTCGCTTCACCCTTGAACAAGCCTTCTGCATCCATGCAACACCCAGGTCTGGTAAAATAATCCCCCTGAAAGCTAAGGTAGACATGATGCACAGTAAATAAGCTCTGAATAACACGTGTGCACAGAACATGGAGATTATGCCCAGATCCGGGTCATTAATAATACAATATTAATAATACAATATTAATAATAGCGACCTGAATTTTAGGCCGAATTCTTTTAGATTTTTAACTTTGTTGCTAGTTAACTAGCGGCTGCCTGTCGTTTGGTGCTGCTTCACCGTACAATAAATGAGCTGTAAAACAAAAACAATAAATTAAAATGAGCCAAACACTAATTGATTGTTCATAGAAAAATGGACTTAAAATATATTTTCTATGCATACCTTCTTCTGATTGGTGTTTTTTGCTGTTTTAGACCACTTTGATGGCAGGGAGGTGTTGCCTCTCTCTCCTCGTGCATTGGACTCAAGTCTGGACCCTTTGGGGCTTCTGCTGTCACCAGCAGGTGGTGACACTCTGTCTGGCGAGAGGCCTAAGAAGACGAGGGCCGACTACCAGGCCCTCTGGAAGACTGCCATTCATCAGCAGATCCTACTGTTGCGCATGGAGAAAGAGAACCAGAGACTAGAGGGTGAGTGCGCATAAAGAGCGATGACTGGTCTAGAACAAATCTTTTCCTTGGTAAATCATGTTTCAATATTCTTTGATGTTTAGTGTATTAGATTTTTTTTTGCAGGCATTGATGGTATTTATACAAGTTCATGAGGTGTTCTTGTTGAGATCCGCTCATACTGGGTCTTATTAAGAGTTATCTGCCTGAAGAAGATGGTTGTTTTTGGACCTGCTTCAGGATAACCGTGAGACAATTTGAAAAGTTGTTGCTGCTGCCACTGCAGAGAAGGAATTACAATGACTTATTCAACATGGATTAGTGCCTGGCCATATGTCTGAGCTAAAATATATACTGCACATGGCTTTAATGTATGTAAGGTTTAGCTGACGGTGCACTGTGCGCTTCCTGTCACTGGTGAAAAGTGAAAAAAAATTACCTTACAGTTTTTTGCTCAGCGATATTCCCTTGTTGATGTGCAAGGGTTTGTTGACAGAATATTGGTTCGAATTGGAAAATTATTGACATGCGAAAACGTACGAAAAATACGCCCCCCGTGTGAAAAGACCTTCTGTCCTCACCACCCACACTCTAACACTTATTCTTGTTGCTCCTGACACTTCATGACCATGGACAGGAATAGAAGATGGAGTTAGCATTTCTGTTATTTTTAAAAATCAAATGCTGCCATATTAGCTTGGGATTCTGGAGCACAGCTATATAAAGACATGCATACGCTCAGCAGATTAAAGTGCATGAAATGAATTCTTTGAAAGCAGCTGTGATACCTTTATTATTTTAGCATACAGTAAAATAATAAGACATAGCTTTTGTGACAGGACATGTAACATTAAAAGGAGGAACTTGAGTAAAACAGTTTGTTTTGTTTTTTTTTGCCTTGGCATGCACCTGCTTTTTGTAGCCTTTATAATTTATTATACCAACACATCTCTTTCCTTTTGTTTGTTACTCTGACACCAATGCTGGTCTGAGGACCTAACTGTGAATAACCATTTTCAATAGAAGGTAAGCATTATAAAAGGAGCCCTTAGAAGCAAGATGGTTTGCATGATTTTGGGTGTTGATCATTATATTCATTCAGTGCAGATGATTTTGTTTGCATGTTCAGGGACAGTCATTCTGTGGTGCTTTTGTTGCTTTTGCCCTTTTACCTCTCCCCGCTATTTTGATGTAGCTTCTCCAGTGACTTTGGATAAAGATGGATTTTTATGTTAAAGTGGGTAATGTGGCTTGTGTTTATGTGGTAGGCTTTCCACGGTGTGAGAGACTGTATCCATACTCGCTCTCACATCTGACCTCTTTTAATCAGCTACAATCTGTTTTACAAAAGCAAAGGTAGAAGGGCTTTGTACTCCTCTAGTACAGCCATCTTTGTTGGTCTTTGGTCGAGAAGAAGAGAATCTTAATTGACTAAATGACGCTGAACATGTTATTTTGGTGATTGTGTTGCAGCGAGCAAAGATGAGCTGCACATCCGGAAGATGAAGCTGGACTACCAGGAGGTGGGCCAGTGCTCCAAAGATGCGCAGGCATCGTGGGAGAGAAAACTGATAGCTCCAGGCAGAACGACGCTCCCGCAAGACAAGGAGGAGGTGTATCGTGCACTCTGCCAAGGTCAGAGATGTGTGTGATTTTGTGTCTAAGACAGTGAGAGAAAGGTGTGATGAAGACAAACTCACTGATTTGTGTGTGTGTGTATCTGTGATTGTTCATGTAGTGGTGAGCACATGTAATCTCCGTCTTTGTGTGCAGGCGTTCCCAAGAGCAGGCGTGGGGAGATCTGGTTGTTCCTCTCCCATCAGCACCGACTACATCACAGGCTGCCGCAGCGTCAGCAATCACCAGACACCCCGTACCTTGACCTGCTGAAACGGCTCACTGCACAACAGCATGCTATTCTGGTGGATATAGGTGTGCATGCAATTGTAAAAAGGGTCCCCACACTCATGGGATATAACGTTTCTGTGTTTTATGTGATGGCAGTTTATTCAGAATGATGCATGTCAAGGAAGAAATGTAGAAGTGCTTAAGCCTTAGCTGCTCTGAGTAGAATCTATCATTATTATTAGTAGAAGTTGTCATTGGAGTAGTAATAGGTTGGTTTTCTCCTTACATATATTAATTTAGGGGTTGAACTAAACATTACAGAATTCTCCCTAGTGCTACTTCCTGTCATGTGGAAAGCTCACAGAAACTAAACGTTTAGATGGAAATACCATTTCTATCTTTGTCCTCAGGCCGGACCTTCCCCACCCACCAGTACTTCTCAGTCCAGCTGGGCACAGGGCAACTTTCTCTTTTCAACCTCCTGAAAGCCTACTCTCTGCTGGATACAGAGGTACTTAATGTCATACTATCTTCCTTCCCTTCTGTCCTATACAACACTGTAAGGCTGTAGTGTAGTGAATGCTGGTATAAATTAGCAGTGCAGAGCGTGTGCTCTCTTTTTGGCAACACAGGTTGGCTACTGCCAGGGAATCAGCTTTGTGGCTGGAGTGTTGCTGCTGCACATGAGCGAAGAACAGGCCTTTGACATGTTGAAGTTCCTGATGTATGACCTCGGCATCAGGCAGCAATACAAACCGGACATGGTGCCTCTGCAGGTCAGTGTATGGATGCACCACTTTAACATGTTATTGGAATATGAAGGCACAACAATAAACAATCAAACACTGGGCAGGTTGATGTGGCTGGTGACTGCTCATCAGAAACATAGAGCTCCGGAGACTAGTGGCTTTAAATTTATATGTTATTCTCTATCTATTTCATTTTGTTAGCCTTTATTTAATCAAGAAAACCATAACTGAGATTAAAACTCTCTTTTTCAAGCATGTCCTGGCCAAGACAGGCAACAACATCAACCACAACAAACAACACAGATACAAACAGGACAAAAAAGTCCTTAACACCCCCTCATTGGTCAAGCAAGCAGATGTGAGCCCACATCTGCTGCGCTAGTTCAAAGCATTAAAACAAATAAAACTAACAAACATCCTGACAATGACAAGTACTTGTTGAAACACTGACTCCATGTAACAAAGCTTAAAATCTACCAAAGGAAGCTGATGAATGCAATTTTAGCTCCTTTTGCAAAGAGTTCCGTGTTTGATTGAGAGCATGAGAACTCCCAACTTTCCTTTCTATCTGAGTGCCCAATTAAGTCGGTAAAAAGCCAAGAAAGGCTTTTTAAATAAAATGGCACCAGTGGAGGTGTATATTATAAACAGTATGTGAGCAGGAAGCACGCTGGACTCTTAATGCACATTTACTGTTTACAGTATAACCTGCCATGGGGAATCCAGCTCACCTTTCACTTATGTGGGTTGTTAGTTAGCAACAGCAAACAGCGGTTGTTGAATGTCTCCACCTCTTATTCAAGCCACACCTGAATGTCTGCTTTGTTAGCTTCAGTTAATCATCAGCTGACCTCACTGGAGTGAAGGCATCAGCAGGCGTGGTAATGATTAATCTACATCAGGTAACTATTTAGCCGAGCGGTGGCCTCTCGGTTGTCTCTGAACTGTAGTTGTGTTTATTAAGGCTGATCCAAAGTTTGCAAAAACAAGAAATTTGTGCTATTCTCTTTGTGCAGCGGTTGATTAGGTAATGGTATAGTTTGTCTTCTTTGTATAGTAACTGTCAGGAAATTGTAAGACTGATAACAGTCTAAGTTTAGCTTAAGCTAACTTCTGCTTCTCTTTTCCGTCGGCTGTGCATTTCACTGTAGCACTTGTCAAGATCACTGTAATATATAGTTGAAAGAGTACGATCAGCTCATCAGATATTTGGCTTTGATGCATGTCTGAGCAAGTGTTTAAAAATGCTGGTAGTAGTTGAGGAGCTCCCTGACAGGTAAAGATTCATGTGATAGTAATTCTTGCATTGTTCTATGATCCTCTGTCCCCTGCAGATCCAGATATACCTGTTTGTTCTGGCACATGTTTTAATGTGTGTGTGTGCGTCTGTGTGTATTAACTCCTTATACTGTATGTGTGCATTTATGTCTGTGCATACTGTCTTTGTTCTCCCAGATTCAGATGTACCAGCTCTCCAGACTGTTACATGACTACCACCACGAGTTGCACACTCACTTCGAGGAGCACGAGATCAGCCCGAGCCTCTACGCAGCACCGTGGTTCCTCACTCTCTTCGCCTCACAATTCCCCCTTGGCTTTGTGTCCCGCATCTTTGGTATATATTTATAATAATGAACCCTGTGTTTGTTCGCACACAAATGCTTATCAGTACAGTGGTACTGACATTTAAATAGACTCATAACAGTTACAGCTTGAAGATGCATTAGGTGGTTTTTATTCTTTTGCCTCCCAGATTTTGTATTTGTTCAGGGGACTGAAGCGATCTTCAAAGTGGCCCTCTGTCTGCTCAGCAGCCATGAGGGGGAGATAGTGGAGTGTGACACCTTTGAGAGTATTGTCGACTACCTAAAAACTACACTTCCAGATCTCACTCAGACTCAGATGGAGGAGACCATTGCAAAGGTACAAAGTGGGAAATTATATGAAGCCCAGTGTGAGAAAATTAAACACTTTAATACATGCAAACGTAATGCATGTTGCATGAATTGCCACTGGTTAAAACCTTTTAAATAATAACTGTGCCCAATGGTCTGACATGTATTTACCATAATGTAAGAAAACACATTACTTGTTACGCTTAAGCTAAATACTTTTTTAAAATTAGACAATAAACCTATTGGCTCTGTTGTTTCACTTACTTAATGGGGATAGAAACTAGATTTTATGTTCCGACTTACTGCAAATGAAGCAAAACATTTTAAGTTGATGTATATTTACATATACAGGAGAATTGCTTTCCTTGTGTGCAGCCATTAAGATAATGCCATGCACTTTCACGTTCTCTGTTGCAGTATCTCCTGGCAACACTGTTGTCATATGTTTTTAGCCAGAGTCGTAACAAAAGAGAGATTCTGCAGATAGTTTTGGTTGTTGGTTTTTCAGAAGTTGACTTTTGTTGCCATGGAAATACCAAAACAAATAAGATAAATGCTGAATTTAAGTTATCATTTAAACTCTATAAAGACTAATTTTGCAGGTTACTATTTTTTGCGACTGTATTCATATACAGTACCATAATTTTTTGTCAATTAATGTAATCTGTCTCTTTGTGTGACCTGTGATTTGCCAGGTAATGGATATGGACATCTCCAAGCAGCTGCATGCGTATGAGGTAGAGTACCACGTCCTGCAGGATGAAATGCTAGAGGCAGGACCAGTGCCTGATGATTCTGATCGGCTCGACAAACTAGAAAAGACAAATGCACAGTTGAAGAAACAGAACATGGACCTGCTGGAAAAACTTCAGGTAAGGAAGAGAAGGATCTAGCTTACATTTTGGTATATAACAAGACCACCCTCCTCATGTATTACCTTTCATAAATATTGGTGGTAATCAACAGCATTTTCTCGCTTTATAATTTTAATAATATTTATTATTTTAGTGCTACATCAGTGAGTTAACATATACAGTATGTACATGTGGGAGGTTTTTAAAGTTATCAGTTTATAATTCCTTCTTTTGATGGACTGGCCAGGGACCTTGTCATGCTGTTTACACCTCCATAACGTTTGCCAGTGGTTGTGCCTCAAACTACCCATAGATGGCACTACAACATAAGTTAAAAGCACAATGGAAACTGATAAAAAGACAAAGGAATTGAATGCTATGTTCTCCAAACTCTCCTATCGTGTTGTTCGGTAGTATGTGAATTAGTGCAGCAGGACTGGTAAAGTCATGATTCTCCTCATTAATGAAAGTCACAGAGATATTCAGCTGCTCTCATCTGTGATGTAACAAAGAAAATTTAGGAGACTCTTAGAATCATCATGATGATGGATAACTGTTAGGACAACATTTCAGAAGTGGTTTACACAACAGACTGGCTCTGTATCATGTCTGATTGCCCTTTATTGTTGAGATGTTGGAGTAATATCCTGGAAACCCTGTCCACATGTTTATCTTTGTATAGCACCCTGTATTTACTGGCGTACAATGTCTGTGTACTCCAGGCAGCACGGCAGAAGATTCAGACACTAGAGACGAGTGTGGAGAACTTCCTCTCTAGGGAGAGCAACATGAAGCACATGATTCGCTCTCTGGAACAGGAGAGGGCAAGTTACCAGAGGACCATTGAACGCATGCGCTCGTGCCTTCCCTCCGATGCCCTGACAGATGTGGAGATGACCCAGATCAAAACAGGACCCAATGGGAAAACCAAAGCTGCAGCCAAGAAGCCCTGACGGTAACCAGGGGCCTGGTGCAAAAACAGAGACTGAAGTGGACAAATGGAGGCTGATATAGTGGAAGGCTACTGAGCTCCACAGCTATTGTACTGCTGCACAAGTGTGGCAACACTGTAAATGTGTTATGTCTGAACTTGAGATGTGCGGAAAGTATCTGTGTGATATTTGTCTGTAGATAATAGAGTGGTGGGAGGATGGTTTCAGTTACATTAGCAAACAGACGTTTCCATCAGTGCATCAAAGCTGTTCTTCTGTCTCATCTGTTTCACTGCCAGTTTGAAGGTGAGGACAAGATACACACCATCCTCCCCTAGTCAGAGCTTTAGGTAATCCCAGGGATATTTTGTAGATTGATACAATGGAGAAATGTCTCTGCAAATCTTTTTGAGCACTCCCTGTGAAAAGAAGGTGCCTGGTAGCAGCAATCCCTTGGACCTTGGGTTCAAGTTACAGCCATTACCAGTGTGCAAACTCCTGGAGTTGTCACCCAATTGTTTTTGTTGTCTTTGTTAGTTATGGAATCACTGCTTCAAGCTATTTACATTGCTTTGTTTTTCATTTTATTCACTTGAAATTGTAGTTTTCCTCCAAAGATCATTGTGATAATATTGTCTTTCACCACAGAGACGTGGGTTCACATCTGCCGTACAAGCCTTTAATTCTCAGCACATATGTAGTTTCTTGCTCGTCACTCAGCACCACACCGCTGCCTTCACATGAGAGATCTTTAGTACTTGCGCTTGCTGCTTTTAAGGAGGAAGCGTTTCTTCCAGGCTGTGAGGTTGTCTGCATTCTCAGTTTCCTGTGCGACTGACCGCAGTGTTGCCTCGATTTAGCACAATGCTCAGACACTGAGACAGTGTTAACACTCCCCAGAAACAGAGGTGGAGGAGCGATGTGAATGTATATGTTTTTGTCTTAAGTCTCTGTATTCCATTTTTGTTTTTGACAGAGCTAGCAACTTCATCCAGCTATAGTTTGAGACTACAAGCCGCTATGGCTCAACATTTCAAGACGACACACCTGCAGTTATATTGCCGTTAGTGACATGGTAAATTCTATGTTTGCAGTGAAACTCAAGTGCTTAGCGTGGTAGAGAGACCACAAAGGAGATAAGCATACCTTTAAGGCACTTCAGTTTCCTTTTGAGATACTCTATAATATTTATAGTGTATGTACACGCATACACACAAGCTGTGCAGTGAACTAGCTGACTTGTATGGGCAGACAGCTCAAAGAGTGTCCCTGGCTCTCTCCTCAGTTTAGTTTTAAGCCCACCTCCATGTCTGACTTGCCATTGTCAGTTCTGATGGAAAGCAAAACAGTCCAGGGCTTGAATCCGCTTTCTTCAAACACCTGCACATTAAAGCCAAGGTGATGTTTATCTTGGGGGGAAAAATAATCACCTACTTACACTGTCTTATCCATTTGCCTTGTCCTTGGTGACAGGTTGTGGTGATTTAATGTCTGTTTTACTCCCCAACATTTTTATTCTCAACATTCAAGCAAGTATATCCTCTTGCACACACTGCAATATGCTTATGTTTAGCAAACCTGTGTCTTTGCATATACGCAGAGCAGGTCACTTTTCAAAGTTAGAAGAGCTAATTCACACAAAGTTTCAATGGGATGATAAATCAATCCTGACATTCTCTGTCAGGATGAATTGTTCTAATGGGAACCGAGGTGACATTCTAAACGTTTGCGCCAAAACGTCTCATAAATGTTGGAGAAAGAGCTGCAACTGATCGGCAGAAATTCTCTCATCAGCTCAGAAGCATATCAAATAAGTCATTTAAAAATATGGATATATAGGATGTAGTCCCACACAGCTTTCCTGCCTCATTTTTGCTATATTTGGCATATTTGCATCATAGAAATTGAACACTGAACCAAAGATTTGGTTGCTTTTCAAAAATGGATTCATCCAAAATGCTGTTTAGCAGACTTGTTTACTCATTGCAAAGTGGATTTCTTCTTTTTTAAGTGCTGCCAAAAGTTAATGATGGCCCTTATTCTCCGTTTATCAGAGATATGAGCCCATTTTGTCGATCTTTTTTTTTTTTTTTTTTTTTGAGAAGGGTCATCAGGTGCTCTGAGTCCGCACTACTAAATAGTGTTTGTAGCAGTGTGTTTAAAGAAAATACTATCAGCATGAGGGCTACACAAAGAAACTATCATGAATTCTTCAGTAAACCTTGCCTTGCCTTGCCTTACTATCATCTTGCCTTGTTTTGTGTTTACTCATGTCTTTCCTGTCTCGTTCAGTTCTCCTGAAGAAATCCTGTTCCCACTACTTTACAAGGTTTTGCTCCACTTCTAGGAAGTAGCTTCAAGTTGAAATGGTCTCTGTATGTAGATGTATTATTGTGTAAAGGGCCAAGGTCGGCTTTGCCAGTTTTAGACCGTCCATTTAAAGACCTTTTAATATTTGTACTTTTGTTAATGCCTTGGGCAAAGAGCACAACAGTTCTGAACTGGGGTGAAAATCCACAGTGATATTGTACTCTTTACTGAAACATTCAACCTAATGTATATTTCTGAATTAGTCATGAATTAAGTAAATGTTCACCAGATGCTTATTTTCTGATGAGTGAAATGCAGTGTTGGTGCAACTAGTTTGATGAAACCCAATCAAGTGTATTTACCTCCTGTGTGTTACAAGTAGCTATAGCATATAGCAACTTTCTGGATCAAATGTGAAAGTGCTACACAATAAAAGACAAGTTGAATGGAGACAAAAAAATAAAATGGAGCTAAAATCGTTTTTAAAAAAGCACACATTGCTTAAAGGCGAGTTTAAAAAGATTGGTCTTGAGCTGCTTTTTTTTAAAGCACAGATCCTTCTGGAAAGACTTCCCCAGTTTAGGAGCCAAGGCTCCTTTAGTTTCAGGTCTGGAGTGAAGAACAACCAACAAACCCTGATCAGAAGACGTGTTATTGACATAAGTAGGTGCCAGGCCATGATTGCATTACAAGATATCAAGCTACAGTTAGCTAAAAGTAATGTATAATCAGTTTAATCAGTAGTTTTTGGATGTAAACCGCAGCAAGAGCCCAGTGAGAGTTCTATCAGCCAAGGAGGGACTTTGAAAGATAGCAGCTGTAAGACCAGTCA